AAAGCTCCTCAAAAACGCTATGGAAGCAGTTCCTGCCGTTGCTACGTTAGTTCAAACGGTAACAAAGGACTATTTTTCTTAGCGGATGCATGTCAATTTAAATCAATACATACAACTATTTTTTAAATCAATAAAATCATTTTCTAAATCCACAAAAGCATTTCAATTAATATTGGGAGTCATAACGTTACTTTGTTGAGAATGTGGCCATGTAATAAGCGGGATAATGTGCAGCGACTTGGTCATTATGGGGAAAAGAACACCTTCATAATAATGACCGCGCCGCAGCACATTATCCCTTACATATAGTATAGGAAGTAGCATAAAATACTCAATTATATAAATTCCTTTCGGGGACTTCAGGTGGTTACTTAGTCTTTTTTACTTACTTATATGACTAGTCAGTAATCATGTCATTTCGTCATAGTACAATATTTGCTTCCAAATGGTAGTATAGTAAGTATAAGTATATATATAGTGTATACTACCATTTGGAAGCAAATATTGTACTATGACGAAATGACATGATTACTAGTCATTTTGCATGTTCAAATTATTAATAAAAAAATTAACGAATGAATTATGATGTACTCTTATGGATTATTATACCTTTTTTAAAGTTAGCTTCACCGTTACCAGCTGCAAAATAAAAATGATTAACACACGAATGGACCACTAATTTTCAGTTTTGGTACTTTAACTATATTTTGATGCCGATACTGTTGTACTTTAATTTAAGTATAATTTTGAATACACTTTTACCTGTAACAGAGTATTTCTACACTTTTACTTATCTGAGTACTTCTTCCAACTCTGAACACAAGATGGTGTCATAGTCTCATCTAATCAATATGATCTGCACAACTCATGGTAATCTACCCAAGGGATATTGATTGTAATCACTATGACCTTTACACTAGCCACAAATGGTGAATATGGTGCAGCTAAACAGAAATATGCTAACATTAGCCAGGACAGTGTGCAAATGGAGAATGGCACCCATTCATGTATCAAAGTTCATCAAAAAGTAAAGTCAGACTCTATGCAAAAGCATTTAGTGACCCTATAACAAATGAGTATTTATTATAATGACAAAACAACATTTGAATTATTTGGGAACAACCAACTAATATCAATGTCATTCTGTCTGTAATTGAAGAAGTGACGTTGTGTTTACCCTTGTGTCCAGTTCCTCTGGTTCCTCTGGTTCCTCGGGGGTGGTGCAGGTGGTGTTAACGCTGCCGTTACACTCTGTGGTGTTAATCAACAGCGGGGAGTTTCCATTGGACGAGGTTACAGACAGCTTCTAATGTAAACAAGCAAACACAGAGCACATTACTACAAAAAGTAGTTTAACTTATCTTCCTTATCTGCAGCAATGTAAAGGACATTTAAATCCAGCTTTGAGTACGTTTAAAAGTTAAATGTGATTTCACATGTTACATCCTGTATAATGAATGTCCCTGTGCGTCTGCTGGCTGAATATGAGGCCAACATTTGAATATCCAAATATTTGCAGTGTGGGTGTGTGGAGCTTGGACTCACTACACCGTTGATGCCGTTCTTCCCCACAGGTACTTTAGGGACAACCACCAGGTAGGTCTCGATGCCGCGCTCCTTCAGGTAGTCGCAGCGGTCTCCTCCGTTTCCTGGCTCTGTGTCGAACTCTCCATGAAGACACTCCATGGTGCTCTGAGAGATGTGGACGCGCCTGGCCAACACGCACACAGGGGGGGTTAGAGATTGAAATGTCATTGCGTTAACTGCTTCTGTAAAATTATAATGGCATCATTATTTTCTAATCATTTAAAAATGGTGGTATAATGCTGCTGTTTGAATTTGGTCAAAAGCCCCTTAAAGAGGAAATATTCTGCTAAATGTCATGTTCATATTAGTATTGTGTGCCTCTACTGTGACTGGGACTATTTTTCTCATACTGCCTGTGCTGCAGCACCTCTTTTCACCCTCCGTCTGAAACCAGAGCCTAGTCTGCTCTGATTGGTTGGCTGGCCAGCTCTGTTGTGATTGGTCAAACGCTTAGAAATGATGATATTGATGAGTATTATCTTGATCAGTCAGGATTTATTTTACTTTTTGACCTTAAGATGCAAATGTTGTTTTTTTCTGTGTGAACTGCACATTGTGCTCTGTACGGTGAGTGTAGTTTTATTTGCAAGTGCCAAAGACAAATTTGCATTTTATGTAAATGTGCTTAATAACCCAGTCACCTGTTACGGAAAAACAACACTGAGTGGAAATGTCTGGTTGCTGCAGTGTGCTTTCTTCTTTTCTTAGAAAACAAACTACGATATACTATGTTATGACCGATGACTCCAGCAGCAGCATCTATTTTCTGATGAATCCACTGTTCGGGTCTTACCTGACACTCAGTCAGAGACTAGCTGGAGAACATTGTGAATATTGCTAGTGCTAATGCTTATGCTAACACTAATGATAATGTTGAGCTGTGTCTGTTGAAGTGTGATCTATGTATTTTTAAAGGCAATAATTCAAATGGTGTTTTCTGTTTATGTAACACAAAGTAATGGACTGAAAGCAACATAGACATCACTTTGAAAATGTTATATGACATAATTTTTTTTTTTGTGGATATACATGTAAGTGCTTTTATTTGAAAAACCTGATCACAAGACATGTACTAAATAGAGTTCTCACCCTGGTATCCCTCCAGCCTCCATTTTGTTTGCCACAGTGACGTCCGTGGACCAGACGTCGTACTGCCAGCGTTTCTGTCCCAAAACCCCCCCCAGGACGGTCCCACTGTGAACTCCCACTCGCATGTCAACATCTGTCTGAGTTTTCTCTCTGACGTACCTGTGGATGGTTTAAGAAAAACAGCCAGAGTAAACAAAACCACAACTAGCTTCTGCCCATTTTACAATACATTCTCAACAAAGTCTCTAAGATATCTCATGAAGAGCAACAAAGGCTATCAAAAGTAAATGAAATTGTAATCTATTTCAGCTTAATTATCATTGTGCACGTCACTGTACTTCTCAAGTGTGCTCCACAGAAAGCATCAGTCTATCATTGATGGATTCCAAATTGTTGACCACCCAACCCATCCCATCAGACTGTTGGAACAGAGTCCCTCTCCTCTCCCCTGTACTCACGAGATGGCCTCCACCATGGCCAGCCCCATCATGATGGAGCATGCAGCGTGGTCCTCCCTGTAGTCAGGCAGCCCACAGATACAGTAGTAGCAGTCTCCCAGAATCTTGATCCTCAGCTGGTGATATTTCTGACGGGTAGACAAGATAAGATAAGAAGAGAGAGATGGAGCCAGCATGTTTCCAATGCAGGGATAAATACACCCTCAATCTTTTTTTTCAGCGTGTATCGTTACAAATGAATGAGTGACCTTTCCTTTTTGGATTGTTTTTGAGGATGCAGAAATCTAGTCCATGTGATCAACATGACTTTGGCAGATCGGATACCGCACAGAACTAGTTCTGCTTCATTCATTTATAAACCTATCACTTCCTGCATCGGACTCATAATAGGTGTCTTTTAATGCACAAGCAGTGCAACAACAAAAAAGTCAGCTTCCAGCATCACAACTTGTTTTTGGATATATAAATCTGTACATAAAATAATCATTCAAGTTAAATATTAGAAGCTTTATCAGCATTAACTGGATACTTAATACAATCACAAATATTAAAAAAAAGATGGATACAAACATTTAAAATCTGAATATTTAGCATTTCTTGTAACCGTGATGTAAATGAGATAATTGATGAAACTCACTGCAGCCAGTTTGTCGAAGCGAGCGAAGAGCTCGTTGAGCAGTTTGACCAGCTCATGAGCGCTGCAGGTCGACGACAGCTGAGTGAAGCCCACGATATCTGCAAACAGAATACTACAGGACGACAGGAGACAAGGAAGAACATTAGTGATGATATCATGCTGCGACAGTAACTTAACCGGATCATCCACGAACAAGTCGTATTGTAACAAATCGTTGGTTAGAATCTGTGATCAGACTGAGCAATCATGCACGTTACCTGACGTTCTCGTGTCGGTACATGTACATGGTGTTGAACTGCTGCATCTCTTTCTGACTGGGCTCCTTCTTCATGTCCTGAAGCATCTCATCAGCTATGTGCTTTGGAAGGATGGAGAGCAGCAGACGCTCCTGTGGAGGACAGAGACAGAGGACATCATACACAGCTTAGAAGTATGGTCCCTGTGTTTTCCTATCAAAAATCACTTTTCCTTTCAGTAACTGTTATTGCAACCATTTTATATCTTGAGGCAGGTTGTTGGCCTACTTTAGCAAAAAGCCAACTATGAAATAAAAAGGGGCTTTGCGGAATGTTTTTTCGGAACTGTCCTAACAGACAACTCTCTGGTGTGAATCCTATTGCAAATAGTGTAAACAAAGGTGACAACTAGAACAAATGCAATGGTGATGGTGCCATGTTTCAGTTCCTTGTACAAAAAAAACACAAATAAAGTGATATCAGGGAGGAGTAGAGTGCTGATGAATACAGAAGGTGTACAGAGTGTACTCTTTGCTGAATGGCATCAGACTGTCATCAGCGTGTCACAGAGATCCTGCACAGTGACACAGGCCCACACACACACTTATATGACAAAGAAAAAATCTTCATCGCACACACAGGCACATTGGACCTGTGAACACAACACACACACCGTGGACATGGAAAGAGGGGGCAGCTTCCAATATTCTTATCAAAACTGGCAGAGAGGCAGAGAAGTGACCAGCGTCTGAGCGCCTGCTCTGTGATTACAGCTGACAACGTCTCAGGAGGCCCGTTGCCATGTTAACCAGCAGCCACCGGATGCCGCTTGATTGGTTGGCGGCCCTTGTCTCCCTGCAGCCCGGGCTTCTCCATTAGTATTCTGAGAGTTTTATCCCACTCATGGTTTTATTAGCTCTCTTGTTGTCTCTTTCCACTTCTCACAATACCTTCACTCTCTTCTTTACTCTCCTCCATAAGCATTCTCTGGCTTTTTCCTGGCTCCCTTGCTCCTTCGTGGGGCAAACCATCTGTCCCATAAATAGTCGTGTTGGAGAATGCCCAGTGGCCACAGATGTGCAGAGAGGAGGGGAGAAGACAGCTGAGAGTACCAGCCCAAACAAACCAGCAGAGCACTCTGTAGAGGCTTGGCTTGGGAACCTGAGGGTCACCAGTTCAAGTCCCTGATGGGTTGGAACTAGATCAGGCACTGCCAAGGAGTGCTGTATAGTAGCATTCCAACACTAGCATGGGTTAAATGAGGAGCCTAAACTCCTCTGTGTGAACATGTGCAATTTGATTAGAATCGTCCAACTGACACACACACAAGCTGCATGATAGGCCAGTAACAAATCTAGAGGACCGGATGAAGATGCTGTAAAACTGGAATACTTAGTTAAATCAGGCACATTTTTTATTTAATTCTCATAACTCATAAACAAGTTGAGGCTGATTTTCAGGTTACCTAACCCTCATTGCAAGACTAACAATGCATGCATGCAGCAGGTAGAATGTTAACCACATTTAGTTTAGCATGTTAGCATGCTAATACTTTAGCACACAACAAGTACAGCTCATTCTGAGTAGAATGTAGATTTGCAGTTATTAGCTTGTAAACCATAAATTGGACACATGACTCTTTCTGACTGATGACGGCAGTAGGTAAATAATGATTACAATGATTCATAGTTACGTATATTTTATGAGACTACATAAACTGGCTATAAATTGACCCTTTTAAAAAGAGGTGACTTGTTCTAAATATAATTAATATTTGTTTGCTCATACCATAAAAGCCAACACTGGACACTTTGAAATTATACTAGAACTCTTCTGACTTTGGGCACAAATATACAACCCCCCCCCCCCCCCCCCCCCCACACAGTGAAAATGTTTTTAAACTGACACATGGAAACATCCGATCGCTCAGTTTGACCTCTGACCTGCTGCTGGCTCTGCTCCTCCAGGTTCAGTTTGACCTCCAGGGACTGTCTGGCCTCCAGAAAGGCCTTCCGATGCTTGCGGTCAGCCATATAGTACGACATGACGCCCACAGTGATGGCACAGACATAGATCACTATGTTGGCTAGTAGCTGGAACAAAATAATGTAACAGTTAGGGTCCATCATTTAATGAACACATGCACATTGAGGGTATAATAGGACACTACAGCAATTTGGAGGAGTCTGGCTACAATGCTTCCATGTTATGTTATGTCTTCTCATAATAATGAGGTAAACAGAAGGAAAGAATTACATTTACACTGACTGCCGTTTTCCATGCTTGTAATTTGGGCAAATACACGTGCAGGAGGAAATTGGCAAGAACAAATAAAAAAGCCTTTATGAATCTGTATGTGTAGACCCAATGGATTCACTTTATTTTAAGCAGCCACCAACAGACTATATAGTTGGTCCCTTCTTCTCTTGAATCCTTGCTGGTATGTGTGTGTTGCTGAGGTTTGTCTGAAAAACAACTCGTTTTGAACGTTTATATTTGGCCGTTGCCCTAATTACACATCTGAGATGAAGCTGTAGCAAACTATAACTTTTTTCTTTTGTAAATCTGAACCACCTTGATATTACATCCTTTACCACACGCCCTGATGAAAGCTCAGTGTTTCCCACACAATTTGATTCTTATTTGTGGGGGCACCGCACCCCCGCCCCCCCAATGTTCTTGTTGCTCTGTGTTGCGTTGTTAATTAGTGAAACACACCGGAGTTGAGGATCTGTGGGATTTATTCTCCCAAAAATATAATTTACAATTTAGGCATTTAGCAGACGCCTTATTCCAAAGTGATTTACATTGACCAATTACAGGGACATTCTCCCCGGAGTAACCGAGGGCTAAGTGCCTTGCTCAAGGGCACACTATTAGTGATGTTCCAGGCAGGATTTGAACTCGCAACCTTCCGATCATCAGCCCACCTCACTTTCCATTAGACCACCACAAATAAATCAATGTATGGGAAACACTGAAGCTTCACCTTCATTCAAGTACACATCTATACATCTATTGGCAGATTGCCTGGTCCTGAAGCTCCTGCTTGCTGAGGTGTTCCTGTAGCGGACTGTCCTCACAGTATATGAAACCAGGAAATGATTACAGGTGTCATGCTTCAGACAACACAGCAGCATCAGGACAGTGTTGTTATCTACAGGAAGTCATGTTAGGGTGAGCACATTAGCATCTGACACAACTTCAGTATATAAGAAACCTTTTACTCTGATGGAGGACATTGTATCGAGTTTGTGTCTTTTTTTTGCTTTAGTAGTAAATACCCTTACCCTTAGAGAACTATCATGTGGCTCTATGCAATTACAATGTTTATACAGATGATTTGAAGAAATCATGCATGTAGGTTGTGAAGTCTCACAGCTTAAATATGGAAAAACCTGTTTAACAAGTTACTCTGAAGATTAGACACAAAGCAGTACTCAGAGTAGCTGCAGATTATTTTATTTGAATTTTTTCTTACTGCATAAGCAAGCTATTTTATGAAATGGGTAATTCAGCTTTCAGTTATGTTGACATAGTTCAGTAACGTCTATTTCAAGTTACATTATGGTAAGTATAGTCAGGACCACACAGTTATAAGATAAGACATCATACAACTTAAAGGTGGGGTAGGTAAGTTTGAGAAACCGGCTCGAGATGCACTTTTTGTTATATTCCATGGAATGCTCTTAACATCCTGATAGCAATGAATATCTTAAGAAGAAAAAAAAAAAAAAGTCATCTGTGGAAGCCGTAGTACTCTAAAAAGCACGACCAATCATTTTAGCCGGCCCGGCTAAAGTAACTGGATGGCCTACCTGCCTGTCAGCCTTCCATCTGTGCACAAACTTATCTTGTGCCCTCATTGGTCATGTGCGCGTTCGTGTGTGTTGGAGGAGGGGCTCTGTAAGGAAGTGGCAGATTTCTTCCGGCTGTGTATTTTCAAATTTCTCCAAAATTACCTACCCCACCTTTAAGCTCTTTACTTTATTTAAAAGGGGTGTGCATGACATGACCCACAGTTGGTTTTGACATTAGCTATCATGAGTATTTTCTTGCCCTTAACTACAGTGGTACCATTTGGACTTTTCATTCAAATGTCATAAACCCAGTTTGACAAACACATATCCAGTACCAAGATATTTATGGAGTGAGATACTTTTACTTTTTTCTAAAGAGCGTATTACTGCTAACTGTATGTGCTGTTAGGTAGTTGGCTAAGTTAGCGATGCAACCCTATCAGATGACTCAACCACAGGGGTTTCAAGAGCCAAATTCAGCAAGAATCAGTACATGTTTTTTTACCCTCATTACTGAGTCGTCAAAATTGCCTGTCAGTCAGCTAATAGCAATGCCAGTTGCATGTCGATGGACGTTACGCGTATTCAGCGCTATTGGCTCTCAACTTCAACAACGGTCCAACCCATTATACATCCATGGTCATAGCTTCCTTTGTTACAGGAATCAAGTATGTAGAACATTGAGTGGTGGCGGCGCAGGAATGAGTCCTATAACCCCGGAAATTACTTTGAGTTTTACCACTTACAGTTCACTCGTTTCGAAAGTCTTTGTGGTTAGAAAACTGAAATAAGCTATATAAGATATTTTAATTTTTTGTTGTAAAACATAAATACGCATGAAATACTCCACTGGTGAATCTTCTGTGTCTTAAAATTGGTGACTGCTAACAAGTGACTACATAAACTACTAAACATTATCAGGTCAACACGTGTCTACCTTTAGGTTAGCTGTGGTGATGAGCAACCATGTGACCGTGATGTATTTTGTTTGTCATTTACGCTTTAAAAATCACAAAGTGGTGTTAATATGAGGAGATTATCCTGCTGAACAAAACGTGGTAATTATTAGTGTTTTTTTGCACCATACTGGAATCCAATGGAGAAATCCCATTGCTTTCTGTCCAGGCAGCCCTTGCGATGCTAACTTCAAAAGCTAAAAAAAGACGTCACCTCAGCACCACTCTTTAGCACTTTGCTAGCTGCATCATGGGAAGTTCCCATCAAATTAAGCTCCTTTATTTCTCCCTGTGGTACATGAATGAGCGTATGTAAGTTTGGGAGGTTTTTGGTTGATAAGCAGTTTTTGTGGTGGTTTTCACAGTAGAAGTAGTTCCATTTGCAGAGGCATAATAGCTATCAAGATGGTGAAAATGGAAGCTCTCCAAAAGTGAAGCCAAACATCTCGATGGGCCACTGCTGCAGTTTAGGTCACCCCGCCCACTCCAAATGCAATGATTGATAAATAGGATTCATTAGTGAACCTAATTTTTACAATTGTTTTAATTTGTATCGAATTTGAGTCCAGACTTCTCTTCATAGAAGAAAATGTGGCAGACATTGAGCCAAAGCAACAGCAAAAAACTGGAATATAAACAGCTCTGTGAATATTTGGGCTTTTAACATTTTAAACAGCCCATGAATTGTGCAATTCACAGCATTCTGCATCAAAATGTGCATCTTCTTATCCATGTCGGTAATTCAATGCTTATATTATGCACACATGGTTTGTGCAGCGAGAAAAAAGGTGGACTTCTTCCAGTCTGCACTCCTTGCATATTCATTAACCTTAACTACTGAGCTGATTAAAAGCATACACCGAGGATCTCCTTTCCAAATATCTGTTACGCCAATATTATTACACCCAATCAACACCTGATGTAAACTTGTATAAGGCACATATGTTCCATATATTAGCAACGTACTTAGTATTTCATTATTTACGAGCATGTCATTTCCCTCACCAACTTTCCTACCTGTCGCTTTTGATATCATAATATCAAATAAAGGCAAAATGTCATTATAAAATGACTTGTCAAACAAATCAATGTTGATAATTCCTAGAGTTGGGTATCAAAAAACTATTAGTCCATCCTAAATGTGAAACTTTTTCTACTGTATTCCAACTTCTTGATGAGTGGAGGTCTCGCTACATGAGATCACACCAGTAAAAGCATTCAGGACAACCAATTACTGTCTCTCCACACCACCTCCCTTCCTCCCATCCCACTCTTACCTGTCTGCCGAGTGCGGCACCCTGGATGTGCTCCTGCTGCTGCTGGGCGATGGTGACGCCTAGAACCAGGGTGTGGACCCCGCAGGACACAGTGGTGATGAGCACGATGGGTGTCAGCCTCAAAGGCAGAGTCAGGAAAAAAGAGAAGCTGAAGAAAGCCTGCCAGCCCACCGTGTCACTGGCCTGGTGGAAGCGGGCATAGTTCAGTCCCAGGTAGCAGAATATCTGAGCCGCGATGAGCACCCACAGGGCGTAGGGCACCACCCGCCTCGATATGCGGTCTGGAAGCAGCCCAAAGCGGCACAGCACGTAGAGGACAATATCGGCCGCCAGTCCCAATGATGCCACCAGAACAGAAGCCAGCTTGTCAGTGGTGTAGACCACCGCACACATGACGATGATGTAGCTGTCAAAGAGGGCGGCAAAGACGACCAGCACCAGCAGGGTTTCGTGTCTCTGCCGTCTGAAGTAGGTCTGGTAGAGGTTCTCCAGAGACTCAGGTGCAAAGGTGAGGCGCATGAACCGCGGCAGGCAGAGGCAGCATCCTGAGCTCCGAACCGTGACCTCATGGGTTCGCCCAACCGCCTGCCCGGGGTCAGAGGGCAGCGTCACAGAGCAGTCTGCAGAATACTCCGCAGAGTACTCGGGCTCGGAAAAGGCTCGGTTCCTAGGCATGGTGCACATTCAAACCGTGCTTCCTTCAATCAAAAAATGGAAACCTGTTTGTCTTAGGACGAACGCTGAGAAATCTCATATATTCATCATATGCATGTTTCTCTTCTGCTAATGAACCGAAGTATCCCCCTGAGGTACCACATATGTGCCATGAATCACAGTAGTGTGTTGATTGTCAGGACCCGTACATCGGAAAGAAGTCTTCTTACATAGCTACGTCTGTGGTCACTCCTTCCAGCGCTCTCAGTTGACTCAGTTAGTCCTGTGTCATATGCACACATCCAGTACGCCTACTCATTTTTGCAGCAACGTGATCCTAATAATGTGCACCTCTTGTTTCCTCATTCAGCTTTATAACTATGAACGTTTCACCAGCCCCTTTCCACCTTTGTACAAGGCAGCTGTGCAGCATGTAAGAGTTGTTGATTTCATTAGAATCGGATTGAATGTGTTGCTGTTTCTACGACTCCCTCTGTCTCCATCATTCCTCTGTTTTGGACTGTTTATTGCATTTTGGCCTTCCATAGTCCCTCTTCACATGGCCTGTATTAAAGAGAACAAATAAGGAATACATTCACCATAATCTCTCAACAAACAGAGGCATATGTTTAGAATTCAACAGCAGCTGATGATCAGGTACAGAGCAGTCTGATCCCTGCAGCTGGCCCTTCTTCTCTGCAGAGACACAGTCACGCCAGCATCCATGGCAAAATCTGCTCTGCTGTTTATTTTCATATTTTAATGGCGTGTGTGGCAGCTGGCAGAAAGAAATACATTAAAAACACACGTTTGGAGCTGGCATGTGTCATATGTATGCGGAATTGAATATGTTTCCTTATATTAGCAGCTTTCCCTGGGTCTGTCACAGGGACCGGGCTCTGTGCTGCGGGCCTACCTAGCTACATGTTGCGCTATGTTGAATACACAGGCTGTGAAAACACTTCACTGTCCGCATACATCATGTTCACTTCCACAATAAGCTCATTTCCTGAGCTGTCTCCAATGCCACTGACTTATCCGACAAACCTGTTTTAATGCTTGCCTTAAGCCTTAAATTGTGTAGGCTATATTTGACTATTAATGATGTGATTATGTTTAATATTTACTTCGGCTTGTAGTTGTCCAATAACAATGTTTCTAATGGTGGTGTCTAATTTCATTCACCTGACATGCTGTACGGGGATAATGTGTCCCCGTTCTTCCAGATGCTGTGAGAGCCATGTCCATTATCTACAGGCTGCTGATGCTCACCATGTGAAGCCAGATGTCGTCTCCTTTGGGTGCTGACGGTGGTTCCCTCGTGCAGCGATGATTCCCTCAGTCCTCCCGAAAAAAGCAGCCAGGTTTACATAAATGAAATAGTCTTGAAGAAATAATAAAAAAACAGGCTTTTAAAAAGTCGCCTCGACGTGTACACCGAGCCCCGCTTCTGTCCTGGGTGTTTTCCGCAAAAGAAACCGCTTCGCCGTCTAGCTACAAGCATTTCAAGCACCACTTCCGGTCACTTTCAAAATAAGACAAATTAGCAGTTTTACTTTTTTTATGAGTAAATTATTTTAAAAAAACATGTACTGATCAATATTAATGTATTTAAAAGTGAATCAGTTGCTTCGAATCGCATTTTAATGTATAAGGCTCTTTTATATAACATATCAATTTGGATAAGTAGACTAATTGAGATGAAAACGAAAGTTATCATCATAATTGAAATAAAAACAAATATTTCTGAAAAACTAGAGTCATGCTTTGTAACATAATCTGTTAGCATTAAACATTATTATTGGATACTGTTGTTAGGTTAATTACAATCATGCATAAGTTCTATGTTCCTGGAATTTAAATGAGAATAGTTTTGGTGATCCCAACATTTTGGCAGAGTTGAGCATAAACATTAATTCTTGATCTTGAAAATGGAAATCATACAAAAAAACTGATCACAATAGTTGCCTACTAGCCTTGCATCTTTTAATGCAAAAATGTTTATTTTCACTTTAAATCCACAGTAAACACACTCAACAATGGCTGCATGAAAAAAGGCTGGGATAATCTCAAAGACCAAACAAGCTTTTACAGAAAGCTTGGAAGGATGTCATATATTAGACACTTCTGTAGATTTTAAATTCCACTCTATGTCATGCTTTTATTTTGAAAGTAAATATCTAAGCCCGTTGTTTACTTCAGCTTCTTTTGTAACTAACTTGACAGGATGTCCACATCTCCCTTTAAACATCAATGGACCACATTCCGTGAATTGTCAATACTACTTGAATGAATAAGCTTCACCTAATATGCGTTGTTTTATTAAAGGTCCTATGTCATGCTTTTCCTGTTATAACCCGTCCCCTTGTGTGTTATGAAGGTTTTTATGAATGTAAACGGTCCTGTAAGTCACAAACCCTCGAAGTACACCCTGTAGCGAGTAAAACTCTAAAACAGAAAATACCTGTCTATGCTGCCCCAGAACGCCTAGTTGGAGATTTATCTTTTTCCATTGTTTTCTTCCTGGGTACAGTGACGTGCCCATACCCAAATGGACCCATTGGTCCAAATCCGTGGAGCCGTTACGTTACTCGGATTTGGACCAATGGGTCCATTTGGGTATGGGCACTTCACTGTACCCCTCTATCTTATAAAACATACAATTGATATGCTCTCCTCAAAGCTAGCAAATTCAAACAGACAAAAACGGTTAATCTTGACGACTATTGTAAAACAACAATTAATTTTAACTCTAATGCACCAAGTAAAATGTAAAATATGGTTGCTCTATGCTGTTTCAGTTCTCGGCTAAAATGGCTAACTGCACTAGCAAACAACATTAATAATACTTATCTTTGCTTTGACAAAGATTAGTCTTGGTCTTCAACCTCCTAAACAGCATTATTGACCTACCAAGATCGAAAGTCCTGTCAGTACTGTTGCACAATTTAATGAGCAGTACATGGGGATAGATTCTAGAAACATGTTAAACATCAGCAAAGTACAGCTGTGCAGGGCCTTTTTAATGATGAACTATTAGTAGAGAATAACGAGTAATGAATATACTTTATAGGGATCCTATTAATATCTAATAATAAAAATAATGAAATTCAATAACATGCTTTAACCACCAGGTGTCCCTTTCTATCAGCTGTGCACCTTTATGGTGTAAATACAGCCTTTCTACCAATTGGATCAAATATAAAAGTCAGCCGAATTAGTGTTGATACTGCGAGGAGACGTATTGTGTGAAGAGAAATGTAAGATGTTGTTTAATTGCTGATATATTTATGATCCACGTCATGTTTTCAGTGTTGGCGGCAATTCCTCATGTTTGTCTAGAAGTCTTCTGATCAGGGCTCTATAAATAGAGAACTACGGTAGATATGTAATATTTAATGCAGCCGAACCGTGTATTACAATGCCGTTATGTGATGACTTTCAAAGAGAAAAACAAACACACTCGGAATAAAGTATTATTTTATTTTTAAAAAATGTTTTCGGTCTGTTTCCGGTATTTGTTTTATGACGATGTGATGTGAGATGACCACCTTGGTAACAATGAAAACGTTGTATAAACACAATTTCCTGAAGTAATCTTCATAACAACTAGCAAACTAAAGATCATGTACATCCACTGCACACATAATCTGAAATAAAAACTAATATTTCTCGCATCAAATGACATCAAAACGCATTTTAATGGCCAAACTAACTTTAAAATAGGCATTTTCCACCGAGAATTAAAAAAA